ACCCTTAATAATCTTTGTCTCGAAATCTGGTACTAATTTCACAAGCTCATCCCCCAGTCACATCTTTCATTTTCTCATTGTTTGTTTTGTTGGAAATACTACGGAGACCTGATCTGCGCAGAGGATAAATGGAATACCTATGCACCACTTAATTCCCCATTTGCCCCATTTTAAAAGTTCTGTGAGTCTCAGCCATGTACAGGACCTAGTAGTTCATTTTATTCTTCACGTCATGTGTTATTTGCCAAATCATTTCTGTGCAGAGCTCTTTCTTGGTGTGTTGTTGGCTCATCAATCATTGCAATAACTGGTGTACAAACGATGAACTGTTTTGAGTGGACACACTGGGTAGAGAAATATATCATGTGGCCTGATCAAATGAGCAAATCTCTTAGAACACAAGTTTCTGGTGTATTTGCAAACAAGGGAAAGGACGGTCTTGTGGTTAATGTGTTGGCCTTTGACTAGAATCACTGGGTATAATTCCTAATATGATTCCAAGCAGATCAGTGAATCTCTAGGCACTTCAGTTCCTCATCTGTAAAATGTTTCCTTGCATCACAAGGTTTTGGGAGAATACATCTACAAATATGCCTCCAGACACTATGTAAGAAGAGCAGTGCTTCATTTGTGCCAGGGCTTTCCAGTACTGATCTCTGGCACATATAAAGCTTGGCAAATCATAGTCTTGGCACCTTTGGGCTTGCCACATCACTTATGACTATAAAAATATTGCTTGAGCCCCACCACCTATTTGGGTGAGCACCAGTACCTCTTTCATTACAAATTAAGCACTGAATGAGAGCCATGAGTATATAGACAAAATGAACTATTAATTTGAAATTGCTTTCCAGCATGCACCTAGAACTTGCATTTCAGCCCACATTCTTACTGAAAAACTTGTTTGCTTGAACATTTGCAGGGAAAAAATCTAAAAGAGATGCATACACAGAGTTGAAATTTTGCTCATTATTCCCCTAATTCTATGTTACAAATATGAATACAAAAATACCATAAATACTTACACCATGTTTGGTTACAAGGTAATGTCTTCATTTTAACATAAACGTATCAAAATGTTTTTTCACTTCCATGCCACACCAATCCCACATATTTAAAACACTGACAGTTAAAGAAACCAAGAAAACAATGACTTGTATTTAGTCAGAAAAAGAGAAATATGAGGAGTAACACCTTGACGCTCCTTGACTCCAATTCTTAATATGTCCTATCATAACCATTACCAAATCATAACATTAAATGATTGAAGATTTCCTCCAACCCTAGAGATAAATGGAAGATTTCAATTTGGATTATTCAGAGGAGGATTGGAATTCAGTCTGTGAATAGATTTCTAAAACAGGACATTTTTACTTTGCTCAACAAGAGAATTTCTCACAAGAGAAGGCTTAAATCATAGACTCATAAAATACTAGAACTGGAAGGGACCTCGAGAGGTCAGCAAGTCCAGTCCCCTGACCTCATGGCAGGACCCAAGCACTGTCTAGATCATCCCTGATAGATGTCTGTCTAACCCGCTCTTAAATATATCCAGAGATGGAGATTCCACAACCTCCCTGGGCAATTTAATCCAGTGTTTAACCACCCTGTCAGTTAGGAAGTTTTTCCTAATGTCCAACCTAAACCTCCCTTGCTGGCAATTTAAGACCATTGCTTCTTGTCCTATCGTCAGAGGCCAAGAAGAACAATTTTCTCCCTCCTCCTTGTAACACCCTTTTAGATATTTGAAAACTGCTATCATGTCCCCTCTCAGTCTTCTCTTTTCTAAACTAAACAAGCCCAATTCTTTCAGTCTTCCCTGATAGCTCATGTTCTCCAGGCCTTTAATCACTTTTGTTGCTTTTCTCTGAACCTTCTCTGGTTTCTCCACATCTTTCTTGAAATGTGTTGCCCAGAACTGGACACAATACTCCAACTGAGGCCAAATAAATGCAGAGGAGAGCAGAAGAATGTGTTCTCATGTCTTGTAAGTAATACATCTACATTTAAATGGGAAAATTTGTAACTGCAAAAGGATTAATACATTTTACAAATAATAATTATTTCTGATTTATTAGAAGGAACACAAGATAAATGATTTAAAGGGAAAAGCATATCTCTAGACAGTGCTCCACTGCATGGGAAGATGCTAAATTAATGACTCACTCTGCATGTTTGTGTTTTTCTGATACGTGTACTATATAGATCTAGTTTTCCAGATAAATTAAATTTAGTATTCTTAATATTAGTGTGATGCAGTGACTGCCCCACTCTAGCAGGGAAAGGGTTAAAAGCAGGCAGGAAGAAGACTGGCCCATCAGAGGAAGGGAGGGCTGCAGGGCTGAGCAGAGCTCACTTTCGCTGTGGCTGGAAGGAAGATGGACAGGCTCTTAGAGAAGGAGGGCTGCACCTGGGACAAAGCAATGCTGGGCAGTGTGCAGGGCAGTGAGAGCTCTGTCTAGCCACTGCCAAATTGCAGGCCTTGAGATAAGGGCTAAGTGGGTGCAAGGGTCACAGGGAAGTGGCCCAGTAGAGGGGAGAGAAGAAGGGCAGGGGCATGGCTGCCACCAGAAGGTCCCTGGGTCAGGCCCCACAGTAGTGGAGCCAGGGTCCCTTTCCCTTGCACTGTGCCTGCTCATGGAGAAGCATAGTGCTATTCATACTGTGGCTTGCTCTGAAGCAAGAGCCTAGATTTGAGGGCTGCAAATGGCCACAGCAGCAGGCATGTGGACTGAGGACAGTTATACGCTGGGAAGGGGGAGAACCCAGTGGTGGGCCCTGCTAGAGGGCAGCAACTGAAGAGGGTTGAGACACACACAGTGGATGAGACACGGTCAGAAAAGGAGCCCTGCTGATAAACTGAGCTTATTCCCAGACAACTGTGGTGGTGATTCCAGCCAGCTAAAACTAATTACACATTTAAATAATCGATTATTTATTAATTGTTCTGTCCAAGTGGGAAGAATTATACAAAATGGAACCCCACTTGCATATACAAAAATGTGTATTTATATGGACCACAGTTTCTGGGCTTAAATCTATTCATTTGCATGCACAAACGGTACTCATTTCCCAAGGCATTCTCATCAGTACTCTCATTCTAAAGTATTAGACAGAAGATATAAATGGCTAAACTTCTGGGCTTCTAATTTTTCCTTTGCTATTAACTACAGGTTCAAAGAATGGAATTTCCAGAGTATTTAGAATTGGTAAAACTGTTCCAACAAAGCCAATGGGACTTCAAATAGTGAATTTGATTAAATGAGACTTAGACCAATGTTAGCCTTTTTGAAAATGCCACTATAGACATCTAATTCCCAGAACTTTCGGTGATTATGTTCGGGAAAAACAAAGTAACTCATTGTCCAGTTGAGACTCTTCTATTTTCAGAAAGATTTCTGGTAAGGTACAACTCTATTCATAAACCATTTAAGGTTTCACAATGTTAACAGGAAATGTTTACTCTGGACCTGTGTTTTCAGTGCTCCCTTTACTTTAAGTAAGATAGCGAGAGACAACCATTTTGCTAACTACGGCCAAGACCTCTCTAATTAGTTGTTCCAATGACATTAAGTGTGCATTGCAGTTGATGTATCTAATTTAATCTTTATATCGTTCAGGCAGTCTCCTGATGATGGTGATGATAAAACAATGTGCTTGAATGGACCAGAAGGAAAAAAATCCACCAGGAGTAGTTTAATGGACTTTTATCTGCAATACTGCAAAGATTTCTGCCTTTGAGATGCGAACAGATAATTTTTCATATGCCACAGAACTCGGGACTGTTTCTAAACTAGGATTTAGAAACAACTGCAATCACCAGTTCTTACAATATAGCTTGCTGTAATGACAATACATAAACCCACAAAGATACCCATATGATGACACAAGCTGATAATTTATTTTTCATTTTAAAACCCAGATAACAAAACTGTTGACGCTTTGGCCACTAAGAGCTTTTTGGAATAAAAATTAATGATTTTTATAAACACAACTGTTTTCTGTATTTGTGTGATGTCAAATATCTTCTAAATATTGGTAAGAGGCAGACACTTCATATAAAGATGATCATTAGCTAACACATAACACAGAATGTTCTAAAACAGAGTAGATAACCTGGAGAAGGTATTTTCTACTGATGAATTATATTTATGCAACGTTTTCAGAATTTGCAACCCCATTATCAGTCTTACAATTTTATCCTATGAGTGTTTAAGATTTGCCTCTTAAAAACCTTGTCTAGCCCAACAGTAACACAATAGCACTTGTTTCTTAATTCACTCCGATGACAATGTCCTTGGTGTTAAGAATAGTAATAGAGATGTAACCATGTTAGTCTGGTCTTGCTGAAACAAAAGACAGGACTATGCAGCACTTTAAAGACTAACAAGATGGTTTATTAGGTGATGAGTTTTCATGGGCCAGTTTTCTCTGGCCCACGAAAGCTCATCACATAATAAACCATCTTGTTAGTCTTTAAAGTGCTGCATAGTCCTGTCCTTGGTGTTAATTTGATTTCACTAACATGGTTACATCTCTATTACTATTCTTAACACCAAGGACATTGTCATCGGAGTGAATTAAGAAACAAGTGCTATTGTGTTACTGTTGGGCTAGACAAGGTTTTTAAGAGGCAAATCTTAAAACGAGGAAGAACGCCTTCTTTCGAAAGTTCCTCTTTCGAAAGAAGGCGTTCTTCAATGTAAAGAGGCCGTCTTCGAAAGAGAGCATCCAGACTCGCTGGGTGCTCTCTTTCGAAAAAGCGGATTTCTCTTTCGAAAGATCCACCTGCAGTCTAGACGCGATCTTTTGAAAGAGGCTCTTTCGAAAGATGCTTTCGAAAGAGCCTCTTTCGAAAGAAGTCTGCAGTCTAGACATAGCCTTAGTGAAAGGACTACAGGAAAAGCATTAACCATGCCTACTTTAGACCCATGAACTTGGAGAAACCTTATCTAGCTACACTCACTTGCATAGCATAAGCTGCAATAACAACAACTCACCCGCTTGGTGTAGTCCATGGCTTTCAGAATGGAGAGGTTAAGGGTCTCCAGCGAAGCCAAAACATCTTCATAGTCTCCCATATGATCAGCAAAATAATCTGGCGAACCAATGGAGGACAGAAAGGTAAGATTCTAGGTCAATATAATAATCAGTTCTGTTTAATGTTACAAACAGTCATTCTGGTAAAGAGAAACAATGAAAATGTTAATTACATTTTAAAAATGTATTTCCACTAGGCGTTGTTTCCAAACCCTGAGCCAAATTCGCAATAGGTATAAAGAGGTGTGTGCCCTTGTAGCCAAGAAGGCTAATGGCATATTAGGTTGCATTAAGAGGAGCATTGCCAGCAGATCCAGAGATGTCATTATTCCCCTTTATTCGGCTTTGGTGAGGCCACATCTGGAGGACCTGTTCTGGGCCCCCCACTACAAAAAGGATGTGGACGCATTGCAGAGGGTCCAGCAGAGGGCAATCAAAATGATTAGGGGGCTGGAGCATATGACTTATGAGGAGAGGCTGAAGGACTTGGGTCTGTTTAGTCTGCAGAAGCGAAGAGTGAGGGGGGATTTGATAGCAGCCTTCAACTTCCTGAAGGGAGGTTCCAAAGAGGATGGAGAGAGGCTGTTCTCAGTAGTGACAGATGGCAGAAAAAGGAGCAATGGTCTCAAGTTGTGGTGGGAGAGGGCCAGGTTGGATATTAGGAAAAACTATTTCACTAGGAGGGTGGTGAAGCACTGGAACGGGGTACCTAGGGAAGTAGTGGAGTCTCCATCCCTAGAAGTGTTTAAGTCTTGGCTTGACAAAGCCCTGACTGGGTTGATTTAGTTGGGATTGGTCCTGCCTAGAGCAGGGGGCTGGATTTGATTACCTTCTGAGGTCTCTTCCAGCTCTATGGTTCTATAGGAGCACGGGAGAACCTCTAGTGAAGTTCAGCCCCATTGTAAAGAGAGGCACAACCCAAAGAAATTACCTCACTGTAAAGAGAGGCACACTCTGCTCCGTGCTGAGAGAGTTTGGGATTTGTCTCATTAGGGCTACAAAAATATAATCCCCCACTGCTTTACAGTATGCAAAGCGTGCCTGATCTACCTTGTAAGATGTCACTACATAAAGTGCAAGGCAGTGGACAGTTTCAATCCTTGCTCTCAACATTATCACCCTTGAAGTGTCCATAGAAAGAAAGCCATTCATATGCAATATCAATTCTTTTAAGTGCTGAGCTCCCTCAGTGCTCCCTGTGAACCCCAAAGGCTTTTGTCTCATAAATGGCAATCTCACCGCACTACAAAACATGCATCAGTTACAAAAGCACAAAACAGTCCCTGAAAACATTCACTTCTAGCTTATTTTTGCACTTCCCTGTAGTGACACTGAGGGTATGTCTACACTACCCCGCTAGTTCGAACTAGTGGGGGTAATGTAGTCATCCGCAGTTGCAAATGAAGCCCGGCATTTGAATTTCCCGGGCTTCATTTGCATGAAGCCGGCCGGCGCTATTTTTAAATGCCGGTTAGTTCGAACCCCATGCTGCGCGGCTACACGCGGCACAGAGTAGCTAGTTCCAATTCCGAACTAGCTGTACTCCGTGCCGCGTGTAGCCGCGCGGCACGGGGTTCGAACTAGCTGGGATTTAAAAATGGCGGCGCCCGGCTTGGGGTTCGAACTAGCCGGCATTTAAAAATGGTGCCGGCTGGCTTCATGTAAATGAAGCCCGGGAAATTCAAATCCCGGGCTTCATTTGCAACTGCGGATGACTACGTTACCCCCGCTAGTTTGAACTAGCGGGGTAGTGTAGACATACCCGGAGAGACCAGCTCAAGCTTAGGCCACAGGCCAATTCACTTGTGTTTTAATAGAGAACAAAGGAGATGTTAGTTGCATTGTTTTACCTATCTATGTCCTTTGTTTACTAGTACATTACGTACTCTGATTTACCTATTATATATTACCTGCTTTAACCTCTCCATAGCTCTCATTCTTTTTTCTTAGTTAACAAACCTATAGTTAATTCACTATAGAACTGTCTGCCAGGGCTATCTTTGCTGTAAGATCTGGAGTATCAATTGATCTGGGGTAAGTGGCTGGTCCTTTGGGACTAGGAACAACCTGATTAGGGCTGTGTCTACATTGGCGTGATCTTGCGCCTAAGTGGCTGATTTTGAGCAAAAACATGCTGCCTGTCTACACTGTCGGGGAGTTCTTGAGCAAGAACACTGACGTTCTAATGTGTGAAATCAGTGCTTCTTGCGCAAGAACTATGATGCTCCTGCTCAGGAATAAGCCCTCTTGCGCAACTGTTCTTGCGCAAGAGGCCACTGTAGACAGGCAACATGAATTTCTTGTGCAAGAAAGTCCGATGGTTAAAAGCACATCTCTTGCGCAAAGGCACATGCCAGTGTAGACACTCTCTTGCTCAAATACTTTAATGCAAGAACTCTTGCGTTAAAGAGTATTCGCACAAGATCTTTCCAATGTAGACGTGCTCCCAATTCTTCAGCTTCCCAATTTGCTTCTGCTATTGCTATTGCAACTCTCAACTTTTTAATCAGAAGACATGACAATTTATGTCTAGTTAGTTAGAAGTTTTGGGACTTGGGCATACAGTGACCTGGGAGAGATCTGGAACTATTCAACTGTTTTCATTTATGTAAGCTTCAGTGACTTCACTGGGGATGAAATAGATGTGCTCATATACACACAACAGTTGTATGACTGATTTCAGCCCTGGAATCCTTTCATGCATAACTGGTGAATTCCTAAAATTAGACATGTAGACCAGAAACAATAACTTAAATATGGAATCTTCAACTACACATGGAATAAGTACGAAATATAAGCACAAAACAGACTAGTTTCCATGTAACTGGCATGATCTAGAATTAAAAACAAACCACGGAGCTAGTATATTTTCCCAGCATCATAGAATCACAAAAGATTAGGGGGAATAGACCTCAGGATATCATCTAGTCCAACTGTAGGACAAACCCCAATTAAATCATCTCAGCCAGGGCTTTGTCAAATCTGGTTTTAAAAACCTCCATGAATGAAGATTCCACCATCTCCTTAGGTAACCAGTGCTTCACCACCCTCCTAGTGAAATAGTTTTTCCTAATATCCAACCTAGATTTCCCTGACTGCAACTTCAGGCCATTGCTTCTTTTTCTGTCATCTGCTACTGGTAAGAATAGCCTGGCTCCATTATCTTTGGAAGCCCCCTTTAGGTAGCTGAAGGCTACTGTCAAAAATGAAAATTAATATTGAAATGACAATTCTATAGAAGTTAGCTATAAATAAACCCCAGGAGACAATTTTATTATTTAGTTCCTTTTGATTTAATTAAAACTGCATATACATGTCTGCAGCCCGAGAACATCTCCAAGTGGCTTTTGTAGTAGCAATTGGAATGATAGCAAAGTTACTATCACCACTGTGATCTGTAGCACCTCAGTGCTCAACCATAGGTAAGCCAAGCAGCTCATTTTCAGCAATAGTAGATTGTATTTTCACACAGGCAATAAAAAATAAAGCACTCTAAGGATTAGTTATCAAAAAGAAAAGATAAAGAATTTAACAGAGTAATTGTACATCCAAGAGGAAACTAACAGCTCGTTATTTCAATTACTCCATTTCAGTCACTATTATTTCAATGCACCGGTTGGGTAAAATTCTGTAATTTCTGTTTATTACTAGCTGTAAAACGTTACATATCTTTGCCACAGAAAAAGGTAAAATACAAAACTTTTTCTTCTCTTTAAAATACTGAGTGTCAAAAGTAGGATGGAAGGTAATAAAACATTAAATAACAGCATGCTGGGAAAAGATGGAAAAAAACAGATACAAACAACTGTCAGAGTTCTATACACCCATCAGTTACGCATCGTTCACCACATATTTAAAAGCAAAGTAACAAATGATTACGCAAAACAGTATTAAGTGTTGTGAAGGAAAGCTGTGAATTCTGTTTGATTTACAAAAGACTATGTGGTTAGCTTTGATGTTGTAGGAAAAGATATTGGACTACAAATGAACCCAGTGATAAAGTGTGGTCATTCAAGAGGTAAAGCCACTAGGATATACTCTGATTTCATAGGCTGATGAGGGATTTTGATATGGAACTCACTCCTACATGCACTTACTTTAGAATTCAAAATGACAAAGTGCTCCCCTACAGGTTTTTGTATACTGTATTGCCGTTCCTAATATCTGATTTGTGTCCATTTATTCTTTTACGTAGGGACTGTCCAGTTTGGCTGATGTATATAGCAGAAGTGCATTGCTGGCACATGATGGCGTATATTACATTGGTATATGTGCAGGTGAATGAACCAGTGATGGTGTGGCTGATCTGGTCAGGTCCTGGGATGGTGTCACTGGTGGAGATATGAGGGCAGAGTTGGCACCGAGGTCTGCTACAAGGATTGGTTCCTGAGTTAGAGTTACTGTGGTGCGGTGTATAGTTGCTGGTGTGAATTTGCTTCAGGTTGGCAGGTTGTCTGCGGGCAAAGACTAGCCTGCCTGCCAAGGCCTGTGAAAGTGAGGGATCATTGTCCAGGATGGGTTGTAGATCACTGATGAAGAGTTGGAGAGGTTTCAGCTGAAGACCGTTGGTGATGGTCAGTGGTGTTCTGTTGGTTTCTTTCTTGGGCTTGTCTTGTAGTAGGAGGCTTTTGGGTACATGTCTGGCTCTGTTAATCTGTTTCCTCACTTCCTCGTGTGGGTTTCGTAGTTTAAGAATGCTTGGTGACGATCTTGTAGGTGTTGGTCTCTGTCTGAGGGGTTGGAGCAAATGTGGTTGTACCTTAGTGCTTGGCTGTAGACAATGAATCGTGTGGTGTGTCCGGGATGGAAGCTGGAGGCATGAAGATAGGCATAGTGGTCGGTAGGTTTTTGGTATAGGGTGGTGTTTATGTGACCGTCACTTATTTGCACCATGGTGTCCAGGAAGAGGATCTCTTGTGTAGACTGGTCCAGGCTGAGGTTGATGGTGGGGTGGAAGCTGTTGAAATCATGGTGGAATTCTTCCAGAGTCTCCTTCCTATGGGTCCAGATGATGAAGACGTCATCAATGTAGCGTAGGTAGAGAAGGGGCGTTAGTGG